CCAGGGCTGATGTTGACTATGCCCAGTCTCGTCCAAAAGTGCACCTGACTGCTGTGTTGACGATGATATTTGCTTTTACATGATTGTGAAGATAGTTCAAGGGATGTGTGATTGGTGTGTTGCATGGCCCGAAGGAAGTGTCAAGTTTCGAACCCCCTGCTACTTGGCCGCGGCTAGGTGTGTGCTCTTAAGAAACCGCGACTAGTTGCGTACGCGTGTGTACGCGCATGTGTGCGCACGTATGTGCGCGAGTGAATATGGGTCAAGCATTTTAAGGTCAGCGGGTCTGAAACTGCTGCCTGTAATGATGCATGACTTTTGGACAGCAGGCCTTGGAGAACGAGGGAAGAACAGCATTTTCTTGCCGTCCGCCACAGACTTGTGATTTGTGGACTCACCGTTGTAGCATTTAGCATTCATAGGTATATTCCGAATGATGTCCGACCAGGAATGACCGGTTTGTACCGACAAAGAAACGTCTAGGTTTGTCAAAGTGAATTCCAGAAGTAGGGCACAGTTGTGAGCTGACGTCACTGAAGCTTCGACAGTACAGTTGGCAGACGTCCCTGTTATCTCGATAGCGTTCAGTGTTCGCAATGGCATCTTTGCAGGCTTAAAACTTATGAGTTAAATGCTCTTATGTGGTCAGGTCGCATCATTTCGACCGGCCATTTTTGCTGTCAGAATGACTCCGTGGCATTTTCCTCCGAAACAGAATTCCAGCGAGCCGGTACCCTTCTTCTTTGTGGGCAACAAGTCCGACTTGGCGCGTCTACGGGAAGTGCCCATGACTGATGTTCAAAAGGTGAGTTACACCTGAACAAAAAGTTATGAATTCAACTGCATTCCCTGTGATTCGCTCCTACTCTGTTTAGTACTTTAACCCCTTATTTACATACTACTGGCAATGCGTTAGCAGCTTGCATTTATTACACTTAAATCGTACTGGAATTGACTGAATACAGTTCAAATGTTCCTTTTAACTTACGTCCGACCGAATACCACGCAGAGGGATATAAAATACTTTTAAGGGCATTTGTTTACGTTCGTGTATGGCTTCCAGTCCACATGACGACGGAGACACTCTCTGCCAGTATTTCGTGAAGCCCGCCAAAATTTTCCTACACGCAGGTACGCACAGATCTCCTCTGAATTTCAAGTATATCCTCCTTTCAGCTGTCAAGGCAGCAGTATGCTCATGGGGTTTTTTAAACGAGTGTCAGGACAAGTTACAATGTGAACGCCCTCTTCCAGGCTGTGGCCGAGTCAGTGCTCTCCACTTGGGGCGTACCAAAGGCAAGTTCTCCCGTTGTTCCCTTTCATGACTTCATTCGTGCTGCCGTGGGACTTTCGCGCTTGTCCTGACTCCTCAATTCCCGTCTTTTGCGAAACTAGCTGATGCCTATTCGTGCGCTAGAGCGCTCAACTCACACGCTCTGTGACCAAGTGAGTCCTAGACAAATTAAGGATCTTTCAAAGTTGTGTTTGGTTTTCGGCTGAAGGTTGAAATTGTCATTTCAGTCTTCTTCTTTCAGGTGCACTGAAGAACTTACTGAACCATAAAGCTTTTACTTTTGCTCATAAAAGCACACCCTGGACAACCCTTGATATACTAGAAAGCAGAGTTTTATATGGGGGATGGTATAATGGCAATGTAAAAGTAGAAAGTGAAGAACCTTTCTCCAAGATTTTTAACCACCTCACGTTCGCTTACCGTCCGCACTACGGAACGGACACATTCTGCTCTCTATTTGCATTTTCTGTCGAAAATGTAACTTCTGAGCTCGTGCAGTTTCCCGCAACAATTTAATGTTCTTTTAGTCTATGCCCTCGTCAACATGACATCTTTTCTTATTTCAGCTGGTTGACTACTCGGTAATTTTTTTTCCAAGAGTGCTCTGTTTTCTAACAGCTTTAACGGCTTGGCATTGACTTTACCTAAAACGCGCGTCTATGGGTAATATTTTGAGGTTTATGTCAATTTATTGAGCGAATAAGGCCTTCGCCGTTGAGCTGCCCATTTATATCCAACAATCAAAAAATAACTTTAACGACAGTACATATGACAACTGTGGAGTCAATGTCAGCGATATGTGTTAGCCAGTCGCAAACGGCCGCTAATTGCTTTTTGCATTATGCTCTGCAACCGCTTGCATTAGCGCTAACCGTCCTCATTCGCGTCCCAATGATTGATTCTCGCGCGTGTGGCCATTCCCATCTAATCAGATTTAACGCGTCGCAACGCTATTATCATTCATCTATAAATTTCTTTATTTGGCACCCATGTTTTGAGTGAATGTAAGAACGCGAAAACACATGTTGTACATTGCTCGGTTTGCTTTAATAGAATAGGCAGTTTAGAAGAAGAAGATGCGATTACTGCAACAAGAATTTTATTTTCCTGAGGTTTCGGATTCTAGCGAGTATGCTCCATCATAAGTAACCGTAGAATGGTGTGATACTTGCACAGATTGGGTGAATCATGCGCAGATTGTGCGATACGTATGTCTCACATCATTCTACTTTTACTATGACTAAGGTTTCTCGAATGAATCCGAAAGGTCAGGAAAATAAAATCCTTTTCCAGTGCTTATATCTTCTTCTTCTTCTTCTTCTTCTTCTTCTGAATTGCTTCCTGGAACACGCTTATTCTTTTCTATCGGCAAAATATGCAAATTGGTACGAAAAATTGATAGCAAACACGGGAGAACGCCTTTAGATTTGGTTGAAAAATACAAAATGAATCTGATTTGATTAGGCTTTTGATGAAAAACAGCCGCTATTTTGAGGAGACATATAATGATGGAAGAGGATCGCCACGTACGAGAGAGTAGATAGGGATATGAAACGTTCATCGGCAAGATAGACATCCTGAATTGCATGAGGCTATTTGCTGCAGAGGGAACCATAGTATTTTAAGCTGCTAACAGAATCAACCATCAAGCTAACGAGATATGGGGGAGTCCACCGCGATCGACTATGGTTCCTTAAGCGTGCATCGAGGAGGCGCATTAAAGGCTGCGAGGATCACCAAAGCGCAGGAAGATGCGAAAACGATGCTTATTTGTTGGCCCGAAGCTACCAGCAGATGTCAAGAACGGAGAAATCCACTGCGATCGTCAACGTATCGCTTGGGTGAAACTGAGGAGGTGACGATAAACGCTGTGAAATCAGTAATGCAGCGGGAAGATTACGACCAGGGTCACTTCGAAACAGAAAAAACGGCGCGCTTGCGGTCTTTTGACATAATAAACATCTCTCAGAAGAAGAAACACTAAATGCAGAACAGAAAAGGAGTTTTCGAGTAAAACCTTTCTGAACAGGTTCGATTTCGCTGCGTTAAGAGTCATTTATTTTTTATTTATTTATTTATTTTTCTGTGACTCTGTTTTTAGCCCTCCGAGGATGAGTACAAACTCCAACTCCATGACATATCTGCTGAGGGCAAGGACAAGAAAAAAGGGAAAATGAAGCTATGGGAAAAACTTCGATGCTGCTAGAAGACTAGCCAACCCTCACCGAGTCCAGTTTCTTTTTTCTGACGTCTCTCTCGTCATTTTCCCTGGAATCTCGCATCCTGTAAACTTACTGCATTTCCCCTGCTCCCGATTATCAACTGAGAAAAGATTACGACAGAAAACAAAGCGTCCTGACCACTCCAAAAAACGGAGCGCACAGCATCGCGGACATGTAGCCCCACTCTCTGTTATAACCCTACCCCCCTCACTCTAGAATAATATTCCTAGCAGTAGTATTTGATTTTCCTGTGTTCACTTGCCCACTCAATTCCTTACTAAACGAACAGCGCCAGTAAATTCAGGCGGAAGTCTAGGATAATGTACAATTTCGTACTGCCTATATTTGCTTTCAATTACTTTGTGCCAGTTTAATTTTCTTTTGCTACGATTTTGGTTTTACTTTTCAAATGTCTTCCATTCTGCTCATCCTGCTCATTCTTCCGTTATGTCGGTTATCGTCCCTTGATCATAGTGCGCGGGTACTGAATGGGTGCACGAATAAGTTTATCGGTGAGGGGTTTCCTTCGGCAGGTAAACTTGTTGCAGTGCGATGCAAGTTCGAGATTAATCATTTGAACACTTTGCCCCATAAATCACTTTCTGCCTGCATACATTCCTTGAAGGCACTTTATCTAAAGGTTAAGCGATAGTTTGTCTGGAACATCATAAATTACTTTCTGGAACGCCCGACAATGTATTTTCATTGGGGAGACGGCGTTGGTGTTTGTGCAATACTGGCAGGTTTTGAGAATATTCTCGCAGACTGCTGGCTCTCTTCCGGCCCTGTGTGTCGGTCTCATCTGCCCTGTTATTGCTTAGACAGTTTGCATCTTGTATTTTATTTGGTGACCTCATATAGTCTCTTAATATTCGTCGAGTAGTGTACCAGTTCGAATAGCAATTTTACTTAAATGCACGTAGACGAGGCATAGAATGTCAGCTGTTGGCTCGTGGACCGTTGTCAGTGTGGTATGCCCCAACTGAATCCTTGTTCGCAGTAGACATACCGCAGATCCTGGTCTTGGCTGGCATGGGTCCTGCCAACAAATAAGTTTGTAATACTGGAGTCACGTGCTCCTAATTCGGAAGTCTGCATTGGTTTGATTGGTGTCTTTTGCATTTTATGAACGCTATGCCTACTTAAAATATACTTCTTCCAACGGAACCAGTTATATCTCTTAAATAAACACTAGCCCGGTGCAACTGGCCGAAAATCCAGACTGACATTTGAAGGGACAGCATAAACTGTGCAATGCTCGAGATCGTAGGTGAATGAGTGACTATGGCAGTAGGCCTATAAACTTGAGGTGTCCGTGTGGAATAAACAGGTGAATAATTGTATTTATTGTCAGTTTACAGACAGTGCCAAAAGCAGTTTAAGTTAATTTATTGGGGGAAATTGGCATGGGCGTTTAAGTTCCCTTTCCGCAAAGTACAGATGTATGTGGTCTACAGAGAAACCATGCGGGTGGCACGAATTCAAACTGGACTATAATTTGGGGCGAGAGTTCCAAGGGTGAACTTAAATCCCTCATGGCTCCAACTCGGTTTCGGCCATACATCGCTCGAGGTTTCTTTTAAAGGACGCAAGCGCTTATTGCATCAAAACATCTTCGGTGAGGGCATTCCAGGGCTTGGCCGCTCTGAAATGACACAGTCACTGACCAAAATAATGAATAGTGTGGGACCTAAAACTGAACCTTGTGGAACGCCAATTGTCATAGGTACCCCCGAGAACGGCTGTGGCAGTTCAGTTTTATTAATGGAAGGATATGCAAACGGCTTTGATCTCCCTATTGGTGGCACAGTGACTGAAAAATGCATCGATGTAGTGGATAATTTCAAAAAGTGGTCGTTTTCATGATTGCAGGTGAAAATTGAGCAGCCATCAGTTAGTGGAAAGTAGTAAGTATACGTGAATACTTTTTGCTCCATGGTTTTTCACACCAAATATTCCTTGGGGCATAGGTAGACTGATGGATTGCCTCCAGAAGCGAGTAGTGGTGAGAGAGACCATATAGGTTGCAGCAACTTGAAGAAGACCATAAAATATAAAAAGTTGGGCATTATTCTCAAGACCTAAGCTCAATCCCTCAATTCTTCAGTCTTTATGAGACCGATTTTGATTACGGAATTCCAGTTTGGAGACCGTGGATGAAGAAAGATATTGACCTCAGCGAACAGGTGCAACGGGAGCAACGAAGGAATTCGACGGTCTTGAGAACTTGCCGTTCCGGGACAGAGTGGAAAATATTGATTTACATCCCCTTCATTTCAGACACTTACTGTGTATCTTACTCTGGCCATTTCGGATTATCTGCGGCCAGGGTTCCTCCCCAAGACCGACGGACTTCTTCAAGTTTGTCAGGACAACTCACATGCGCGGAAATTCTTACAAGGTCACAGGCAAATGCACTCGATTGGACCTCAAAAAAGTTTCCTTCAGCCATCGAGTGGTGCGACCTTGAAACTTGTCACCAAGTGAGATGCTTACCGGCGACAATCACAGACAATCGCCTGCAATCATGCGAACAACCACTGTTTTATTTTTTATACTGTATCGATGCATTTTTCAGTCACTATGCCACCAATATGGAGTTCAAAGGCGTTTACCTATCTTTTAAGTCACTTTAAGTCACTTTATTAAGGGAAGAAGGCTGTCGCCCTTGAGCTCCCTATTC